CAACCCCAAGTTTGCTTGTAATATCTAATATGTTCTTCCTATTATCTTTTAGAAAAAATACAATAATGCCATTTTACAGATGAGAAAACTGAGACTTTAAAAGGTTATGTAATCTTCTGAAGATAACACAGCCAGTGAATAGCAGAGTAAGGCTGCAAAACCCAACCTGACTCCAAAGCCTGCCTTCTTAACAAATATGTGCATTATGCTGATAAAATCTGCAGAAAACAGAGTTATGAAGGATATATAATACATGGAAGTTTGTTATAATATTTTGAATCAGAATTGAAAATAAGTTTAACAGATGCCCTGAGGACACAAAGTATTTAAAGAACAGAAAAAGACAAAAAGAGTTTAGATCTATTTTGCATAAACCTAGCAAGAATACCTAGTGCTGATGACAGAAGTTCCAGAGATCTTTTATTTCTTATTGAACTTCCTACTGCTTTGTGAAGCAGTAAGGTTTCCTCTCTTAAAAATGTTTAAGAAGAAGCTGGCTGACATTTCAGGAACTTTTTATAAAAATGGAGGGTAGGATATATGACCTCAAAATCCCCCAACTTCATTAAATACCAGAAAACATCTTAGAGCAAACAGTAGGTACTCCAAGTTGAAGCGATTCTATTAACTATATTTTTCATAGTCTGGAACCTTATTTTTTAATGTATCTCATTCACCTAAAAAAAATTTCCCTCTAAATATAATATCCTTCTGGAATACTCTGTCTAACATAATCATTTTTGTACTTAATGCAGCACTACCTATAATTTTAAAATGAAACAAGCTGGATGGCCATCCACAAGGGCAGGAGTATAACAAATGGGTTAGATGGTGAAAGAGGTCTGTAACAATATGTATGAAATTGTGTGATTTTTCAAAAGAACTATATATAGAAAGAATAAGTAAAAGTATGTTTACAATAGCTATTTTTCATATACAAATTGCAAACTATATATACAAGATAGATGAACAACAAAGACCTACTGTATAGCAGAGGGAACTATGTTCAGTACCTTGCAATAACCTCTAACAGAAAAGAGTCTGAAAAAGAATATACATATATATGAAGTGAAGTCGCTCAGTCGTGTCCAACTCTTTGCGACCCCATGGACTGTAGCCTACCAGGCTCCTCAGTACGTGGAATTTTCCAGGCAAGAGTACTGGAGTGGGTTGCCATTTCCTTCTCCAGGGAACCTTCCCAACCCAAGGATCGAACCTGGGTCTCCCACATTGCAGACAGACACTTTACCGTCTGAAGCCCATATATATATACACCCACATATATATATACACACACATATGTATGTATGTATGTATAAATGAACCACTTCACCATACACCTGAAACACTAAATGAACTATGCTTCCAGTTTTTTAAATTAAATTTAATTTTTTAAAAAAGAAACAGAAGAGAGAAAGTGAAGAAACAAAAATTAAAAACCTAACAGCCAATACAGAGTAGGTTGAAACAATTTTCCAAAGAAGTGAAGCAATATAAAAATTCAAGGTGAAAATGCAGACCCAAGTATGCTTTACCTTTAGTAGCTTATGTTGGGGGATTTTGTCTTTTGGTTTCCTTTTTGCTTTTGCCAAAATTATCTCGTGTAATTGACTCCCTTTTTAAGGTCTATTACGCCTAACAATTTAAGTCAGCATATTCATGCAAATCAGTGATTTTATCTTTAGGATATACTAAGAGGGAGTATACTAGAGAAGGAAATGGCAACCAATTCCAGTATTCTTGCCTGGAGAACCCCATGGACAGAGGAGCCTGGTGGGCCACAGTCCATAGGGTCACAAATAGTCAGACGTGACTTAGTAACTAAACAAGAGTGAGTATATAATAGTAGCACATTAAATGCATACTTAACTTACCTAAATTTGACTGTATGTTTTTGCACAATAAAAACAAATTATCATAGATCATGGCCACTAACTGTAAGTTAACTATATCATCTGGTTCTTTATGTGATCTGGTCTAAAACTTGAGAGAAAAAAGGTTGCATTCAATGTATTGTGGGGTTGTACATTACAAACAAATCCATGTATTCTGCTAATGAGTCATTAGAAGATTCTGGAAGGAAATTTCTATACATCATCAGTATTTGGTGAACAGATATGAAGTAATGCATTATTAGAAAACACTACTCTTTTTCTCCCTTAACACTAAATCAAGCACTCTTTTGGACTCTAACCCTCACTTAACACGTAACTAACTGAACTGGCAGAGAAAAGAGAGAACAAAAGAGTAGTGCTAGCATTTATTACCCACTGAACTGTGAGCCAACACAACCAACTTAAAAGAGCTTCACATACATTGCTCCATTTAATGCTTATAAAAACCTTATAAGACAGGTGGTGGAAGTGGTGGTTTAGATGCTAAGTCAGGGCGGAGTCTTGCGACCCCTTGGACCTTAGCCCAACAGGCTCCTCTATTCATGGGATTTCCCAGGCAAGAATACTGGAGTGGGTTGCCATTTCCTTTTCCAGGGGATCTTCCCCACCCAGGGATTGAACATGAGTCTGCTGCATTGGCAGGCAGATTCTTTACCTCTGAGCCACTAAGAAAGCATGAGACAGGTACAGTTCCAATATTATAAGTGAGGAAACGAAGGCACAGAGAAGTTACTGACAACATCAAAATGAAGAACTTCCCTTGTATTTTCATAAAATGTTGTGCCCTGTAAGTCCCTAATCACTTACAGATACAAATGTGCTTCTATATCACTTGGACTCAGGTTCCCCATAAACCTCAACTGAGAAATCACTCTTGACTGCAAAGACTATTCATGAAACTCTAGTGTAAACAGGACCCTCACCTGAATCTCTCCCCAGCACAGTGTTCCTTCTCCCATAGAGGTTTGCTCAGAGAAAGCCTAGAGCCTCCTGCCTTTCCAAGCACTCATTAACAAAGTAGCGATGGATGACTGGAAAGCAGATGTCAACAGAGTTCTACAAAGAGGCCTAGTTATAGTACTTCAGAGCAGAACAGCAGAGGTCCCATAGCTGACCTTCTCTCTTTTCTGTGAGAGTGAGACAAATCAAGACAAAAGGACATCTGAGGAATAGGACTTCTAAGGAAAAAGAGAAAAGGATGGAACAGAAACAAAACCACAGACTGTTTTCCTTACCAAAGGCATGATTTCCAGTTCTTTGAACAACACATTGGGTTCTCTACTCAAGCCATGGATGGGTTCATTAGGAAAACTGACCATTTAAAGGTAAGTCGGGGAAAACATTTCTGTTTTTGCTACCACATGGAGGCAGGTCAGGTTTCCCGGGTGGCTCCGTGGGTAAAGAATTTGCCTGCAATGCAGGAGATGCAAGTTCGAGTCCTGTGTCGGGAAGGTCCCCTGGAGGAGGGCACAGCAACCCACTTCAGTATTCTTGCCTGGAAAATCGCATGGACAGAAAAATCTGGCGAGCTACAGTCCACGAGACCACAAAGAGTCACTGAAATGAAATGACTGAGCACACACGAGTGCACGTAGGCAGGTCATTAGTGGAATAAGTGCAAACAGAACGCTATTGTCTGCTCCTCATAAGCCACTTTCAAATGCTGGCATAGACTGTTTTAACAATATCATCAATACCAATCAGAAACTTTGCCTTAACTGAAATGAGATAGTCAGTGACAAAGGTAAAGTAATGCATTATAAAATACTGGGTTTTCTCTCTCCCTTAATACTAAAAGCAATTATCTTTTCATTTTCTATAGAGATGAATGAAATCTCTGGACAGCTAATATTTAAGCTACAACAATTAAAGAGAAGTAAGTAGCTCTTCAAGTTTATATTTACATATGCAAGCTCAGCATCAAAATATCGTCCCTACATAAATGAATTTAAAACAAACCAGAAACAGACTCCCAGACATAGAAAACAGACTGTGGTTGCCAAGGGCGAAGAAGGGCAGAGAGGGTTGGATTGGGGGGTTGGGATTAGCAGACACAAACTATTATGTATATTATTGTGTGGATGACAGTAAGGCCCTACTCATTGTTTAGCACACAGGGACAGCACAGGGAACTATATTCAATATCCTGTAGTAAACTATGTGGAAAAGAATATAAACGTATATGTATCATTGAATCATGGCTTCCCAGGTGATGCTAGTGATATATAGCTGGTAAATAACCAGCTTGCCAATGCAGGAGATGTAAGAGATGTGGATTCAATCCCTGGGTTGGGAAGATCCCCTGGAGGAAAAAATAGCACCCCCCTCCAGTATTCTTGCCTGGGAAATCCCATGGACAGAGAAGCCTAATGGGCTACAGCCCATGAGGCCAAAAAGAGTCGGACACGACTAAGTGAACAACAACAACAACTAAATCAACTTTTCTGTACAGCAGAAAATAACACATTGTTATTCAACTATCCTTCAATAAATTTTAAAATATATTTATATCCTCCATTTACACATTCATTGGGTGTTCATTGGAAGGATAGATGCTGAAGCTGAAACTCCAGTACTTTGGCCACCTCATTCGAAGAGTTGACTCATTGGAAAAGACCCTGATGCCAGGAGGGATTGGGGGCAGGAAGAGAAGGGGACGACAGAGGATGAGATGGCTGGATGGCATCACCGACTCGATGGACATGAGTTTGAGTAAATTCTGGGAGTTGGTGATGGACAGGGAGGCCTGGGGTGCTGCGATTCATGGGGTCACAAAGAGTCGGATACGACTGAGCGCCTGAACTGAACTGATGGCTACTTTTACATAAGGCTGACTGTATCCTTCACAGTAACGATACAGAAAAATCCCATCACAGCAGATGCAGAACCTATTATCAAGTCACCCAGGTCCATGTCATTGTTCAAACACATCTGCCATCAGACGCTGAACTGCCTCATGCAACACGAGTTTAAATTCAACCCTCACAGGAGATGCTTACAAAACACATGCAGACACCATCCCAACATTTGACTCCAATTTGTTTGAAATAAAGCCTTTTGTATATGCCATACTTGTACTGGTCAAAAGCAAAGTCAGTACTATACCTGGTTATTTCTTCTTTAAGTTTACACGGATCTTCAGCATAGAATTTAATACCAAAATACAAAGTATATGGAGGTCCAGCTATAATAAGAAATAAAAATTAAATCACATTATAAATTTGCCAAAGTGGTACTGTAGTATAACACAACTATTAAAAATTACACTCATCAAAAATATTTGCAAATCATATACTGGATAAGGGGTTAATACAAAATATATGAGGAAGTCACACAACTTAACAGCAAAAGACAAATAACCCAATTAAAATATGGAAACTAAATAAATATTTTTCCAAAGAAGACGTTCAAATGGCCAAAGATATTCAATATAAGAAAAGATATTCCATGTCGCTAATCAGGAAAATGCAAATCAAAACCACATCAGGACATTACCTCACACCTATAAGAATGGACACCTAAAAAAAAAAAAAAAAGAATGGACACCTATGAGAATGGCTATTGTCAAAAAGACAAAAGTGCTGGTGATGATGTAAAGAAAGAGGAACTCTGTACACTGTTGGCAGGGACATAAATTAATGAAACCATTAGGGAAAACAGTATGGAAGTTCCTCAGAAAGTTAAAACCAGAGCTACCATATAAGCCAACAATCCCACTACTAGGTGTTTCTCCAAAGGAAATAAAATCAGGATCTCCAAGAGATGTATGCACCCCCAAATTCACTGCACTCCTACCACTAACTATTGCAAAAAGTACTCCCTAAAATCGGCAAAAAGCTAGAAACAATTTAAATGCTCAGCAGCAGGTAGACTCCCTGGAGAAGGAAATGGCAACCCACTCCAGTATTCTTGCCTGGAGAATCCCATGGACAGAGGAGCCTGGTGGACTACAGTTCATGGGGTCCCAGAGAGTCGGACACGACTGAGCAACTAACATACATACATACATAGCAGGTAGACTATTTAAGTCAACCACAGGACATATATATGGTACTGTGCAACTGTTTAAGTGAGCAGTCTCTGATACAGTATAACAGACATACAGTGTATTTTCATTTTTAACTAAGTAAATAAAGTCACAAATTTAGAAGCCAGGGAGAGGAAGTCACATAGAACAACATGTAACAAAGTCATAATACATTTATAATATATAGGTGATGTTATTATTTATTATTATTATGACACACACATGCTATGGCACACAGAAGACAACCAACTAGCATCCTACCTCTCTCCCCTAGCCTATGCCTTCCTGTATAAGGCCCTACTTATGTTGGAGCTTTTACAGAAACTAAATTTTAAAAGAAACTTTGTTATAATTTATCACTAGAGTTGATTCCATATGTTCAATTTCTGTGTTTACTTATCACTGTGTTTTTATTTCTGACAAATATAACTTCACCCCTGAACACAGATGTCAAGGAGGCACCGATTATTAAATATTCAGAAGAGCTAGGAAGTCCATCCTCTGCTAATCTGTCTGTGTCAATCAGGCTCTGTGTTACTGGGCAGATGGGTCTGCCTGTGCCTGCAGGCCACAAGGGTTCACATATCTGGGGATGGGAGGAACACAGATGCCAGGGACAGGGGAGCCCGGTGGGCTACCGTCTATGGGGTCGCAGAGTCGGACACGAATAAAGTGACTTAGCAGCAGCAGTAGCAGTAGCAGAGTTTAGTGCTTGCTGGCAACTATTGCATACAGGCTCTCAGGGAAAAAAATCATACACCTTCAGAGTAAACAAATTAAATACTTCATACATACATCACCGTTTTGTAGATCAACTGAAGGCTAAAGAAATGGAAATTCTGGAGCAAGGATATGTGTACCCAGGTATTTTTCAGCTTCTTAATCTGAAACTGACTATAAAAATCAGGTGCCAATGAAGCAAATTCCTAGATTATTATCTTGATCTATGTCATTCCTAGATTATTATCTTGATCTCTGTCTTTCCAGGTCTATCTTTAAGAAATCATTTACGTAAAGTAGGTTAATAATGTTTTACTCTAGTAAAATAGAAGCCTGGCTTCTATCTACCTCTAATCCACCTTCTGTGAAGACCAATTTCAAGGCCTTTAATGATAACAGCCTCCCGTTAGCTCAGGATATCTAAACCAAAACCTACCAATAAGAATTCTGGTAACTAGCAAATATTCTGTCATTTTTACAGATATTACTTCTGACTTATCTGCTGGAGATGTGAGAGGCATTCTCCTTCATTAATTATCAAACTATCTTAAAAAATAAAAAATTATGTGTTATTCAATTGTATACAGCTGCCGCTAAGTCGCTTCAGTTGTGTCCGACTCTGTGCGACCCAATGGATGGCAGCCCACCAGGCTCCATCGCCCCTGGGACTCCCCAGGCAGGAACTCTGGAGCGGGCGCCGTTCCCTCCTCCAGCCAATTGGAGTACCAGTGTTTTATTCTCCCTGTACATCAAGTTTCTGACAGGATGACATTCATTCAGGATGAGAAAGTTATAACTGCATTACAGATTATAGTTACTAAAAACACAATATTTCATACAATGGAAAGAAATAGATACTTCAAATGCTCTTAAAGAACACTTGAATAAGATACCTTAAATCAAATAATTTACATTTTTCTCCACATTTGCATAGAAATCTGTCTTAAAATACTAAAATTTTTCTAATTTTTAAACTAGTATTTTTTAAGTAAGTGGTTGAAATGGACAAGAATTTGTTGTATTTATTATTCTACCTGAATCGTTTGGAAAAGTGCAGATTTCTAGATCCTGAGGGAGGAGGCTTGTTAAACTGGAGCATCTACCATTCATACCAGGCTACCTCATAGAAGTTATCTGCATTCACATCTAATCACATGGACCTCCTGCTTCCTCTCAGCCTTCAGTAGGCAGTCTGCTCACTCAGGAAGCATGTGGAATGAAAAGTCAGAAGGTCAGGGCTTTGGTCATCCCTCCAATACCGAGCAGCTTCTCATCCATGGCAGGTCGCAAACCCTTTCTGATTAGGACTTACTCTTGAGTAGGCTGAGGAGGCAGAACTTGATGGCTAAGGTATATATTTTGAGGGTGCTTTGTCATCTCATAGGCCACTAGCTCCATCTCTGAAACCTGTTGCCCATTCTCATCCAGAATGCTGGCCCCCTACCAGCTGTGTTTGTACTGACCTTGGAAAAGCCTAGACACAGCTGAGTGAACTGAAGTGAGCTACTAATGCAAACTGGCCAAACACCCTCCCAAGAGTTTGGAGTTGCAATTCAGAGACAGCCAGTTCACCTCTGCTTGTGGTTAGAGCTGTAACTTGGAAACTGTGGAGCTTTCCGCCACAGACACGGAGGAACAAAAAGAGCTAGACCACAGAGAGAAACAAAAATGATGCTGATGTTCAGAGAAATGGTACGTGCTGAGTTCCTGACAATTTTGCAGTTCTTATTTCCCAATTCCTTCCAGAGGCACAGCTCTGTTCCTGCCCGTGGGGTCCATAGGACACCATGTGACCCATTTTACCCCAAGGAATGAGTCAACACACAGGAAAAGTACAGACTCAGAATGGAGTAAGAAAGGCCAGAAGAATCCTCTAGGTCTTATCAGCAACAATTCAGCAAAATAGCTTAATGACATGGTTTCAGTTTGGGAAGACAAAAAAGTTTCAGAAATGGTTAGTGGTGATGGCTGCAAACCAGTGTGAGTGTATTTAGCGCTGCTGAACTGTACACTCCAAAATGGTTAACTTGGTACATCTTATGTTATACATTTTACTAATAATTTTAATAATAAATATGATTTTACAATAACTACTCTTCTACATACTTAAGGGCTGCAAGTGTGTGGGCATGTATACATTCATAAATAAAAATTTGAGTCATGAAAATTAATGTTAATGAATATAACATTAATTAGATTTCTGAGTCAATTAGTAGGACTCATACTGATAAAGTCAAAACCAAAATAGATGGATCCTTTCTGAACTCATAGCAATCTTTCAGGTTATGAGGGCACTCCTTAATTATTGAGCCGGTAAATAATGTGAAGGGCAATACCATTCTTTAACACAAGAAACTCAAGCCCTTTAATATTATCCAGTGCCCACTTGCTTTTCAAATCATTGCCTCTCTGCTTTTTCTGTCTGAAGGGGAAATTTCAAAAACAATGGAAAAGTCACAGACAGAAGTCCAGGTCAGGTGCCCCCAAAAGCCAAATTCAATACTCACATCTCCTCAGAGTCCCTATCCACACAAATCTAATCAGAGTCTGCAGAGACCAAGCAATGTATAAACACCCATTTCCATATTCTAGCACTGAGGTGCTAATATTCACACCTTTGGTCTTAAAGCCATTTCTGCACTCATCTAATCATGGATATTACATCATTTTCAAATTTCAACAAAATTAAAATAAAATACCTACTGTTGATCAGTTCTTTGTGTTCAGACAGGGTTTTTGCAGGATCCAGCCAATACTGGTGTGAGGGAAAAAAAGAGTAATTGCAGAAATTAGTTGTATTTCATTGGCCTTCTCTTCAAGAATATTTGCAAAATGTTATTTTTTAAATTACATTTAAATAATAAGTAAAACATTTGATTTATGATATATACACACAAACATACATAAGAATTTTCTGCTGCTAGAACATTAAAAGAGAAATGATGTCAGTGTTTGGAGAGAAGCAGAGAAGAGAACCAGCACATGCTGGGCTCTCAGTTGAATTCTCGTGTTGGTTATAAGATCAGTAACATCAAGATGATAATTAGTGAGTTTCTTACTGTTTTTGGCTGCAGAGAATGCCGCCCAAATCTCTTTCCAGCATCCCCACAGAACTCCACTAGAGACATGTCTCTCCCTAAAATCTTCTCTGTTCATTTCCAGTCCCATCCCTGGCAAGTATCTCTGCCAGGAGTAGGGAAGAAAGCAATCTAATCAAATCCTCATTAAGTATCCAGGAGAGGAGGCCCAGTTCAGTGGGTGAGGGTACATACAAGTCCCAGAGCAGACCCATTTGTATTCCATCCTCTCTCCCTTCCTTCAGCAACATATAACTTGCAACCAGTTACTGTACATCTTGGGGCTTCCCAGGTGGCGCTAGTGGTAAAGAATTGTGAGAGTCACTCAGTCATGTCTGACTTTTTATGACTCCGTGGACTGCACAGTCCATGGAATTCTCCAGGCCAGAACACTGGAGTAAGTAGCCTTCCCCTTCTCCAGGGAATCTGTCCAACCCAGGGATCGAACCCAGGTCTCCCGCATTGCAGGTGGATTCTTTACCAGCTGAGCCACTAAGGGAAGCATGAGTACTGGAGTGGGTAGCCTATCATTTCTCCAGAGGATCTTCCCGACCCAGGAATCGATCTGGGGTCTCCTGCACTGCAGGCAGATTCTTTACCAACTGAGCTATCAGGGAAGCCCAGTGGTAAAGAACCTGCCTGCCAATTCAGGAGACATGGGTCTGATCCCTGGGTTGGGAAGATCCCCTGGAGGAGAGCATGGCTACCAACTTCAGTATTCTTGCCTGGAGAGTTCCATGGACAGAGGAGACTCGTGGGCTACAATCCATAGAATCACAAAGAGTCGGACATGACTGAAGAGACTTAGCACGCATGCAAGCACTGGACATCTCTTTCTGAACCTTCTTCACAGGCTTGCTGGAAGGATTAAATCAATTACGTCACGCAAAGTCTTTATAATAGCCCCTGGCTCACACTAAGTATGCAACACATGCTCGTGATGATTATCATTAAGGTGTGAAGGTCATTCTTAATAAGTATCATTAGCCAGTCTAAGATACTTGCTTATTAACTCAAATTAATCTTTGGAGGACAGAATTTTAGACAGTAACGGGAGAATTTGGGGCCCTGTCGAGAGGCCTTCCTTTAAATCTCACCTTTGTGAAATAAAATCACTGAAAGAAAAAGAAACAAACCTGCCTCATCTGGAGGAAGAGCAGAGGAGGAACAAACCAAGTACAAAGTGGGCAGAAGCAGCCAGAGTTCCCACAGAGGGACACAGTCAAAGGGACTCCAGCGCCAGTTAAGTCAGGGCAGTGAGCAAGGTGGAACCTTTACCCCACTCTTCTTGCCAAATGTTGGTGGTTCCAAGGGCCAAGCTAACCAGTTTCCACAGTTTGCATTTTATCATGTTGCTGGATGACGAAGGGGCAACTCTCACAGCATGAGGTAGGAGCTGGTCCAACCTGAACCACTTTATTCCTAGCACTCTTGTGTTTGTCCAGTGAAAACATGCACTCTCTCTTGATTAACCTCCGTCAGGAATAACAAACCACAAAAGGAGCCTCAGAGAACCTCTTTGCCCAGCACCCCTTTTCCTGCCCCTCCACAAGGGCAGAAATGCTCACTCTGCTATGTAACAGTACCAGTAATTATAAATAGTTATTATAATATTTTATATAATCCCCTTACCTTTTATTCCTATTTATATATAATAAAAATCATTTATCCTAAATGAGTGTCATAATCATTTTATTACAGATTTTATCACAATACTTAACTCTATTCATGTATACATAATCCTCACTATTTGCCACTTACAAAGCTGTTTCAAATTTTCCTACTTTTTCAAAAGGTAATCAGTATAAATAAATTTGATTACCCATCACCTTTGTGAAATAAAATCACTGAAAGAAAAAGAAGCCTTCTGCCTCATCTTATATATATATTTGACAAATATGTATGCTAACCACCAATATAAAGGGTTTCCCTGGTGGCTCTGATGGTAAAGCATCTGCCTGAAATGCAGGAAACCCGGGTTCGATCCCTGGGTCAGGAAGATCCCGTGGAGAAGGGAGTGGCAACCCACTCCAGTATTCTTGCCTGGAGAATCCCACAGACAGAGGAGCCTGGTGGGCTACAGTCCATAGGGTCGCAGAGAGTCGGACACGAGCTAGCGACTAACACACATAGACATCAATATAAACGGGTAGCAACTTATAACACATGATCATCATCCCACTCTTATCATGTCTTAATTTTTTAAGGTCTAGAAAAACTTAACGCAAGGTATTTGAAGAAGAGGTCATAATCAGTGAACCACTTCTGGAGTCCATATTGACTAAAGATGTGGCTTTGGTGTTAAAAAATAAATTGTTCCCAGGGAAACACTGATTCATTCAAATAGAGTAAAAATCAATCCAAATGCTCAGCTATGTGTTGGACACAGAGCAGACCTTCTCCCCTAGATAAAGCTGCTTCCTACAAAATGGAAACATTAAGTGGGTATTCTTGCCAATCATGTGAAACAAAAAGGTTTGACTCTCCCTGGATTTTTTCAAATAAGATAAAACAGAGGAAAACACACACAATCATAAACACCTGCATCAGGTTTCTATTGCTGCCATAACAAGTTATCACAAACAACTTACACCACCACCCATTTATTCTCCCCAAGGCCTGTAGAGGTTTCTTTGCTCCAGGTTTCACAGGACAAAAAACAGGATATCAGCTGGCTGGGGTTCTGGAGGGTTATTTGGCAAGGAGACCCTACCCACAGGAGCACTTTTGGAAGGAGACTTAGGAGTTGAGCCATGAGAGGCTTTCCCAGTTTTCTCCAGATGTCAAGGCATATATAATACTAGGCCTTAATTTTAGGCCTTACACTTCTCTGACAAAGGTCTGTCCAACATCCACTGGATCATCGAAAAAGCAAGAGAGTTCCAGAAAAACATCTACTTCTGCTTTATTGACTATGCCAAAGCCTTTGACTATGGACCACAACAAACCGTGCAAAATTCTTCAACAGATGGGAATACCTGACCACCTTACCTGCCTCCTGAGAAATGTGTATGGAGGTCAAGAATCAACAGTTAGAACTGCACATGTAACAACAGACTGGTTCCAAACTGGGAAAGAAGTATGTCACCCTACTTATTTAACTTATATGCAGAGTACATTATGGGAAATGCTGGACTGGATGAAGCACAACCTAGAGTCAAGATTGCCAGGAGAAATATCAATAACCTCAGATATGCAGATAACACCACCCTTAAGGTAGAAAGTGAAGAAGAATTAAAGAGCCTCTTAAGGAAAGTGAAAGAAGAGAGTGAAACAGTTGGATTAAAACTCAAGATTCAGAAAACTAAGATCATGGCATTTGGTCCCATCACTTCAAGGCAAAAAGATGAGAAACAGTGACAGACTGTATTTTGGGGGGCTCCAAAAACACTACAGCCATGAAATTAAAAGACTCTTGCTCCTTGAAAGAAAAGTTATGACCCACCTAGACAGCATATTAACAAGCAGAGGCATTACTTTGCCAACAAAGATCCGTCTAGTCAAAGGTATGGTTTTTCCAGTAGCCATGTACAGATGTGAGAGTTAGACAACAAAGAAAGCTGAGCGCCAAAGAATTGATGCTTTTGAACTGTGGTGTTGGAGAAGATGCTTGAGAGGCCCTTGGACTGCAAGGAGATCAAACCAGTCCATCCTAAAGGAAATCAGTCCTGAATATTCATTGGAAGGACTTATTTGAAGTTGAAATCCCAATACTTTGGCCACCTGATGTGAAGAATTAACTCACTGGAAAAGACCCTGATGCTGGGAAAGATTGAAGGCAGGAGGAGAAGGGGACCACAGAGGATGAGATGGTTGGATGGCATCACCGACTCGATGGACATGGACACGACTGAGTGACTGAACTGACACTGTACTAAGTGCTTCGGGCAAAAAGGAGGGAGGGCAGAGGCCTGTGGTCTTACTACTCCGTCTAATCTCATCTCAAAACTAGTAAAAAGAAATTGCAAGAGAGTCTCTTAATCTGTCCTTCTAACAACATCATCCCCCCAAAACAAACTTCACAAACACACTCCTCAAACCCAATCTTTGTTTCTTTGTTTGTTCTTCCCTTCAGAATGACTTTCAGGCATTAAAAAGCCAGAGAAAGAAAACAGGAAGGAAACTTTAAGCTAAATGTAATAGGAAAGACTGGTTAACCTATTAAAAATTTCCAAATGAATGGTAATCTGTACACTTTTAAAATAAATCTTTCCTTGTGAAGTGAAAAAGCAAAATGGTCTAAGAGGACTTAGAAATTACAATTTTGCAGCAAAAAAGGGAAGAGTCAAGACTCAGCCAAAGGCTGCCCACTGCCATTAAATTTGCTCGGTATACATCCATACGCAGATATGTGGCATTTGATCCAAAGAGAACCTGGGATTACAGAAGTCAGACGGTGATAAGTGCCCCAGAACACGCATAACAAACATGAGCCACCAGTTTCCATAAGCTAGCATCTTAAAGTGTAAAACCCACTTACACTCAACCAAGGTAAAGAAATGACCTTGGAACCAAAGCAGCCGTACTATGACGGCACTCGTCACCACACATTATCAACAAGGGATCAAACATAGCACATGTGTGATCACCATGAAACACAGCAGGCAGCTGCTCCATAACCAGTGAGAAAAAAGGGCACAGAATTTGCTAAGAACACAGCATTCCAGTTTCAGCTTTA